GCTTATTTCGCATTCTTTATTTTGCCACGATATCATTTGGCTTATTGTCTTATAAATTCGAGATCTTGCTAATGACTAATGAATTATTTATTTTCTGTTCACAATAATTCTTTTAAAGATTATCATATTCTTCGAACTTTTTTCCTCTTGTCTATTTTTGGAATAGTTTTTACTTCATGCGATGTGTAATTTTTTTATTATGATAAAAATTAATTGTTGATTTTTTAAGTTTCTTTTCCCTCTTATATTGATCAAATGTAATATGTTTTCTCTGCATAATAAAACCAATAATTTTTTTAAAAAATTTTTATTATAAGTTTTATCGCTAATTGTTCAGTTTTATACATGCATGTATATGTTCTCCTTTCTAAACTCGATTGTTTTAAATTTGGATTTAAAATTAACATTTATTAGAATATCTTTTCTATTTTATTTTTTTGGGTTTCTTTTTCTAAGAGTATAATTACTAAAGCTCAATCAAAACTCGATATCATTCATTTCATTGTAATTATCTAAATTTGTTTTGTATGAATTATGTTTTTCGACACGCTGTATTGTTCAAGCCATGTACATCGGTAAAAGAAGAAAATCTCAGCACTTTTTATTAATAAAACTCGATTCAGTCAGAAGATACTGGTATACTCTTATAAAAAATTCACTTGAAACAATAAACCAGTTGGAAAATGAATCGATTAATATGCTCTGCGTGAAAGCTCCCAAACTATAATTGTTACATCTATCTATTAACTTCGTTCTCTTTCCTTTGTTTATATGTTTACGAGCTGATGGTTGTGTTTCACTTCTTTATGATATCTTTTTACTATATCATACCGAGTGCGGCATAAAGATTGCAAACATTTAGTATTTTGCAAATATCTCAGCTGAGATCAATCATATAGTCTTCATTCTTTTTTTTAAAAGATGCACCGTGAAAAGCTCTAAAAAAACCCATAAGAGCAAATTTTTATTAGCTTGTTGTGATGGTGCCTCCTATATTCCAAAATGAATAGATTCCATGATGGTCCTGTGTCCCAATGTATTAAATATTTAGAAGATTCTTGTTTGTTTTGCAATAGGAAGTTGTTCATATAGTTTTTGTAGGGCTTTCGACGGTGCATATTTTTAAAAAAGAATGAAGATTATATGATTGATCTCAGCTGAGATATTTGCAAAATACTAAATGTTGCAATCTTTTTGCCGCACCCGGTATAAGAAGAACAGAAAAAAAAACAATATACTAAAAGAGAAGATCAAAGAAGATGGAATAAAGTAGAGGATGATATGAAAGAAGTGATTGCAACAACTGACGACATCACCCTAACAATAATGAACAATAATGTTGGATATTTAAATTGTACACGACGAAAAATGTTCATTTTATTTATGATGGTTAGTATATATAAAAGTTCAACAAGAGAAACTAAATGTTTTACACCCAATCTTTGATACTACTGAGATCTGTATTTTTACGTTCACTATGTTCACAATAGATTTTTTCTTTTATTACGATCAATAAGTTAATTATACGAAATTATCTTATAGTATACTGATTCAATTGTAAACATTATTGTTTATATTACCAAAATGATACAATTTATGAAATCATACATTTAATTATTACTGCATATGTAACTATTACATAGACAGATCTGTAAAACTAATACGGCATTTTTCCTAATGATTAATGAATACATAAGTAATCAGAAGCTTTTTATTTCGTGATTAAATAATGTATACACAAAACAGGAGTCAATTTGATTTTGTTTTAAGCTTATCATTCAGCGCTACACTGACGTCTCACCACCATCGATAATGACGAAAACTTGAATCAAATGGTGAAAATGAGTGTGCACGTGGTGAACCATAGTGAACAGGGCCTGAATAATGACCTGGGCTGACTATTCCCGAATGAGAACCGTACCCATGTCGACCATTCGAACTGAAGAGATTATAAATGGTATCTGAAAAAGATCAATTTTATATTGATAAGCATATGTATTCAACATAGAAAAACTTCATTACTTAAATTATAAGCATCGAAGTAACGTCTATGAGGAATAAGGGTTGAGCCACGAAAAGCCATGTGAACTAATGTGTCGTAGTTGAAGATTGAAGTGTGTGAATTTTTTTAAATATCTTTAGTTTCTCACACCATGTATAAATATATATATATATATATATTACTGCATACAATTCACAAATCAATCATGCATGAATACACGCCCATTGTAGAACAAAATATAAAGCATAAAGATATCGAAATAAATATACTCTAGGGTGTGGCGTAATTTTTACAATGCAATTTGTATTATACAGTATATCAATATCCATTGACGTAAATCGTGACTAATCACTGATGAAAGAATAGAATATTAAAAAAAAGATACTTTCTCTTTTTATGAGTGAGTACAGTATTTTTTTTTATTGCACTTTAACCCAAAAATATTGAATAATCACTTTTGTTAATTATATCCATCATTATTAAGTAAATCTTGAATGATAATAATATTTTTATATGTTACAATAATTCTACAATTTCTTTGTTAAACATATCATTTGAGTAAATCATAAATCGTAGTTAATGGGAAAGAATATTTTACATAATTTTATATGAATCTGTGTATAATTCAAGTTTTACTTACTCTCTAAAACTGATTTTGACTTAACTACGTTGAAATCATATGAACTTGTTTTTAGCTCTGTACTCTCAAATTTTCAATCTTCATTATATAGACTTAATTATTTTTTTTTTGTTCAACAGAGTATGTCAAGATATATTATATTACATACCTTTGGTATTTTGAATTGTGACTCTTGAAATAGAAAAAAGATTCATATTTTCTAAAAAAAAAGTAAAATGACGCCCATTGACATGTCTCTTAAACAAATAAGTAAACCATTGGCTATAACAAGACCTTTTTGAGCGTTTCGAATGGACGATAAAAACAAATATAGGTAGAGAGAAAGGGAAATGGATTTTTTTAAGCAAAATATTACGAAAAAATTGTATATTTCACGAAGACTGTTTTCTTTTCATCGAAAAATAGAGTTTCTTGTCTTGTGTTAAGAAGGTTGATTTGTTATTTGACATTGATAAATACTGTTCTTTTACTTAATTTAATACAATAATTTGTTTAACAAAAAACAAAAACTCAGTAACGTTTCGTATCTCGATAAGATACTTCGTCAGACATAAACATAAAACAGACGACTTAACATACAATAACTTATACAAGTGAAAACATAGTAAGGCCGAAATCACACTGAAAATTGAAGAATATGAATTTCATTTTAAGCCATTGCTCGGTCACGCCAAGCAAATAAATTACGAATGAAAATGGAGGATATGCCTCTTTGATGTAGACCATCTGCATAAAAATAACTTCTAATACGCTTAGATGTCGTTATCATATGCATACGATTTACATAGAAGTTTCGTTTATTTCGTTGTTAAACTTAAAATATTGATTTAATTCAATCCTATTAATGAATAATCTTATTACTTGAATAAATATTATCTTAAATTTAACCACTTGAAATATAAAAGTCCTTTCAATACGTTTGAAACAGAAACACACTACTTAAAAGTAAACTATAGTTACAAGAATAATTTATTATGATAGAAAAAAAAAAGAAAAATATAACAATTCATTATGTTCTTTAGAATATTAAGTCCATGAAATGTATATGGAAATAACGAAAAAGAAGTGTAAATAATAAATAAGCAGACTACTAAGGAAAAAAACATGTAGCACAACAATAAGGGAATGTGTCAACTCGTCACGTTTTTTCTTGTCTGGTTTTCGTAACGAATTGACAGTACGAAAGCCAGTGACAGAGCTTTCGTAACGACAGAATCAGGGCTTTCGTAACAAAAAATCAGGGGTTTCGTAACAAAGTTTACAGGATGATCGTAATTGGTGTTTTAATATGTACCATTACAGAGCTTTCGTAACGAAAAGCATGTAATTCCTGCAAACTCAGTTCAGCTATCACCCTTATCCTCATTACGAAACCCTTGTTGCTCCGTTGCGAAAGCTCTGCAACTGTTACGAACTCCCTGTATTAATCGTTACGATCGCCCTGTAAATTTCGTTACGACATCCCTGTATTTTTGAATATCCCTATTTTTGGTGTTACGAAATGTCTGATTTTTGCTGTTTATTCAACTCGTCACGTGACGAGTTGAGACGTTCTCAACAATAATAAACAAAAAAGGAATAACATTGAAACTTTAATAATCATTAATAACAATCACAAGAAATATATAAACTGTGTCACAAAAAACTCTTACAATTGGTTTTTTACAAAATAATCAGTTAATGCTTGACGAATGTCATTTCCATCTGTAGTTTGACTGTTACATGATGGTTTTTTGTAAATTCACCTCAAGTTTTGACTTTTAGTTTGGATCATAATGTATTCGTTATTTGTGTTAGTTTGTTTTTTTGTGCACAATAAAAACGTGTTGTTGATCAAATATATATTGTTTGATCATGCACGTTATTGTGTCCAAAGTCTTGATGGTATATATGAAATTAGTTGTCAATCAGCTGTAAGAGGCAATTCTGGTCGAATGTATATGATTGGTAATGATCAACAGTTTAATTCATATCTTACAGATGACAAAATAATTAATTCATCTAGATCATTTATTATTATACTTCATGCGAATTTATCTGATCGATCCTTCTACACTGTCAATTGATACATGTGCATTGCATTATAATGCTACTAGAATTTAATTAGTGCATCGTTGAAAGAGGACCCACGCCTATTTTATTATATTGAAACTTTTTTTTTACTATTATTATTGTTGTTAACTGTATAAAATATAATGTATTGATATTAATAGGCATCAGATCTATTTTTATTTGATTAAATTGAATTAACAAGAAAGAAACACAACGTTACATGAATGAAAAAGAGGAAATAAATTCCTTTACAATTCAAAGGCGAAAGGATTTGTCCATTTTTATGTCCATGTCCATTTTTGATATTCATTTCCAATAATGCATAATCACTAACAATGCTATACCAATTAATACCGGAGCATATTGACCAATTTCATAAACCATGTTGGATAACGACGTTGATTGTTGATTGTTGTTACGTAATTCTTCTCTATCACCTAATTTTTCACGAAGTAATTTATTTTCGACTTCGAGTGATGCAATTTTGAGATGATCTGCAATCTTTTCTTGCGCGCGTTTTTGGACGACCTCTTGAAGTAATTGTGAGGCAGTTTTCTTGACTTCCATATTCTAAAACAAAGCAATCAAATTACTTTTAGATAAGAAATTCTGTTTCTTACTAATCTACAAATAAACGCGATATGTATATGTAAATCATATATTCATAACCATGAGGAACTAATTAGTTTTTCTTTAACTGTTAAAAAAATATTAAAATAAAAATGCTTAGTTAAAAAAATATTACCGCGTACTTTGACTTGCACATTATTTCTGGTAAAATAATCACGATGTTCACCACGATGTTCACCACGATATTCACCACTATGTTGTTCTCTTGTTAGGAAGGTCATTAAAATTTATAAATAGTAATAGGTTTCTCTTCCTTGTCTTAATTTTATTATATAG